GATATTTGAATCCCGTAGTAAGGGCAAAAGGATTACGCGTACCTACAGGCGATTTAGCCAGAATGGGAGATAAAACGCTGAGGCGGATCCAGGGGTGGTTCGGTCTAACCCCCTAAAATGCTGGAAATCATGTTTCCGAAGACCCAATTTTCAATTCTTGACTAAATCCTGGATACGCCCCAGAAACGGAACGGCTCCCAGGATCGATGCAGTGAAATTTGGAAACTTTTGCAGCTGGAATGGGTAGGTAGTAGCTAAGCACTCTCGCGGGTGGAAATTTGAGGGAGATCGGTCGACTTTTGTGGAATTTATCGGCCTTCGAGTGGTGACGGCTGGTATTCGGGACCCATTGAAGTTTCCAGCCTTGAGTTTTTTTATACACAGCTGACCGGTAGTACCACACGCGCCACGAAGAAAGTTGTCAAAACAGCGTTAAAAGGACCGTAAACGACAAAGCGGCTACAGAAAAAGGTAGAGAGACTTCATACGATATATTTCTCGTTTTTATTATCCTTTTCGATTTTTTCTTAATTTTTTTTATTATTTTTCCTATTATACAGTTGACTGGTGACACCGCACGTGTTGCAAAGGAGGTCGCCAAAACAGCGTCAAAACGACTGTTGGCAACAAGGCGGCTGCGGAAAAAAGGTAAGGAGACTTCACATGCTGTATTACTCGCTTTTATTATCTTTTTAAAAATTTTTCTTAATTTTTTTTTAAAAATTTTTCCTTTTTTTCATGGCCCATGCCAGCCGGCACATACGCTTAAAATTCAACCTTAAATGTTAGTTTTTGCTGTTATTGAACTTTAGACCCCTAAATCACACACAGTACGCTTGGGCCGCCTGTGGTTAGGACGGGCTGACACGGTTTTTCCGAATCGATACGATACGCTACCGACGTTTATCTTCGATATCAATATCGACATCGATACTGTGACGTCACTGGAGAGAAATGGTAAGTCGTGTGCTTTAATTGACAAAAAATAGGGTTATCCTGCATTATTAAGGTTATGCAGTGTTCAGAACTTTGTAGAAGCGTCAATAAGAGTCACAAATTTAAAATCGGACTAAGGAACTTACTTAAGTCGAAACTCATAGTCGTCACCGATCACTATTAATGAGTTCACTCTTGCAGCGCTAACAGCCGCTTAGACTCGGGTACCCTCCACCCACTGCTCATTGCCCAGTCTCGAGTCCAGAATCTTTTAGACTCCTTGTCATCAGAGGTTGATCGCTGGCGTGAGACAAAGCGTGGGCAGGTCAAGTGTAGTTTCGAAAGCATCGATACTTTTCGCTTTCGCCAGTATTGCCGGATATTTTCCGATCTGAACTCGGTATCGCTGGTATCGGTATCGGCCTATCCTTACTGATTGATAACACGTGAGTTGAGTCGCCAATCCAAACGTAATTTTGTAGTCACGGTTAAGATCTCTTGTGGAAGGAGAAAGAAATGATGTCTTTTGCTTTATCATGTGGATTGCACTACGTCAAAAGTTTTCGTGTATTCATGGCGAAAACTGGACAAAGAAGCGAAATTTCAAAGCTTTTAAAAGAACATTTATCGCCCTTGATTCAGGAATCGCTTCATTCACGTAGCATATCATTACATTTAAATATTCTCAGCGTAGGAGGTGGATCAGGGGAAATCGATGGGGAAATGTTGAAAATAGTGAAGAAAGAGTTACACAAATGCAAGCATAGCAGTCACATGAAGATCTTCAACCGAATGATCGAGCCTAACGAATATTCGTGTGGTCTCTACAAGGCAGCCATCGAAAGCTTGCCTCGCAGTCTTCCCGATGTTAACCCCATAGAAGTTGAAATCTTGCGGCAGACATTTCAAGAGTATAGGAAGATGAAGTGCAGCCATCAGCAAGGATCAGTAAAGTTTGATTTGGTGCATTTTATCCACAATATCTATTACGTGGACATCGAGGAGGCTCTGCTTCGCTGTTTTGAGAAAGAGCTAAACGATACGGGAATCTTTTTCATCGTCGAAGGGAAAGACCTCATGGACTGGGTGAAGTTGAAACAAAACAAGCATTTGGCTGGAAAAGACAAGGCTAACGATTCCAAAATGGTGGAGAGAATTATCAACGTTGCTTTTGATAATGGCTGGAAACATGAAGTATACGCCCAAGAATATTCTATCGATGTTACCGAAGTGTTTGATGAGAAATCTACTGAAGGAAATCTGCTTCTTGATTTCCTGACAGAAACTGCGGATTTTCGTGAGAAAGCAGACACAAAACTTGTGGAAGAAACACTTAAACTGATTAAGGATCGGACCATTTTGAAAGATGGGAAAAGATTTGGTGAGAAAAAGGAATCGCTCATTGTCATTTCCAAAGAGCTGTGATAAATTGGTGTCA